TCCAGAGCTCTGAAAGCCTATGAGATCCTGCTCAAACTCCATATCCAAACAGCATCCGAGGTTAAAGCGATCATGCGTGCCATAATCAAAACCATTGTCAAAGTCGGAATCGTTGTCAAACAACAAACACTGACTGATGAACAAATTCAGTTTGCCAGAACAGCCAGACAGAACTTTCGCATAATTGCACTTACCACTATCAGTTTTACTCGTGTCTCTTACACTTATGATCGGCCCTATCTGGACAAAGTCATTTTGGATTGTCAGCAAACTTTGAAACGATGTGTGACAGATTTACTCAGCGAGAATTCACACGATCGGATTGATCTGGTGTTTAATCGATTACGTAGCCCTCAACTACTAGACAGTATATTTAGTGAACAAGCGACCAAAGAACAACGCCAAGCACTGGTCGAACTCTGTGACCTACTGGAAATCCTTGTAAATCCAAAACCCCAGACCTGATATTCACTTATGATGTTGCGTCACCACATCGTATGCTGTCTTTCTTCCTTCCGCCCCTCCCCGTCCGCCACCCCCTGGGTTTGTCCATCCGTCTATTTTGTCAGTTTTTTACTTTCCTAAACTTTCGTAAACTACTTTGCCAAATAGATCAGATGCCGTTCCGTTTTATTTACGTTGATTGGGGGGAGAGAGGTACTGAAATGCTTGAATGATTATTAACGGTGCAACGGATGAGGAATTCAGTTATTATGAGGCCCATGCACCCGCTTTGGCATTTGTGTCACATCCGGCTTTTTCGTATAACACAGTGGATGTGAGACTGGTGGACTGCCACACGATCGTCTGAACGATGGCCCTCAATCAATCACACAAATGCAGCAACGATCATTGTGACACCGTTTTTGCGTCCTACAGTATTACAACTACTACCACTTAATCGCTATACGGCTGTCAACCTTGAAGACAAGTGAAATTGAAGAAGTGAGTGTCAAGTTAAGTGAAGGGAGCAACGACTGTCATCCTGCTTCGATTTAAAAGCACGTGAGCCACACTTGTCAAGGTCACCAATAACAAAATGCATCCCACGAATCGTGGTTCTTGCACATACCTTTACTTGGTGACAAAAGGTATTTCTTGCCAAACTTTGATAGTTTCGATAGTTGATCAGTGTTCAGGCTATCTTTCTTCTGTATCCAGAGGTTCAGCGGAGAATCGAATGATTTTTCTATTTGTAATGTTCCCTAGCCAGCCGTGTGGTAAGAAGACCGCATCCGGATTCAATTGGACCGATAGTGAAGAGATAGAAGCAAGTTTTACTTCAAAGAAGAGGTTGCAGGCGCTCAGTAGCAAGTTGTGAAGACTTTTCTGTGTTGCAAACAAAATAATCAATAGTTTGGTTGCTTCTCAAAACG